TTTTTTATTTATTTTTAACCCAATTTTGATATTTTTATGTGTTTATTTTTTATTTTTTTTGTTTATTTATTATTATTTTTTTTATTTCTTATTATTGAATTTTTTATTATTTAGCATTAAGTTCTTATTTTTATTTTTTTTTTATTAATTTTTTTGTTAGATTATTTTATTAATATATAATTATATATATAATTTTATATTTTGGTTTGGCCAAAGTCCATTACCAATGAATTTGTGTCAATACATAAATTTTCGGATATCTGATATTTGAAATGTTTTACCAATTCCATTTTATAGTTTTTTTACTCCGAAAGACGGGTTTTGGAAGAGAAAATAAGTCCGAACTTAGAAATTCTTTGGGAAAAGAGTTTAGATATTCACATTCTTTATTTGTCTGATAAAAGAATAAATAAATTCAAGGATTTGTGCAGGAGTCCACTATACTGATCCGATATTGTAATACTAAAGGTCCTAAAATGTTTACATTCTCAAATTTTTTTGTTATGAACTAGAATACAAAACTGGCGCCAACTCTTTTAATTTGTACTTGGAACTATCATTGGGAGTTAATCTTCGAAATAATGAAAACACGAATCTTCTAATGAATGTTATTGAAGGAAGGAATATCAATAGGTATCAAATTGTTTTTCACCAAAACAAAATACTTAGATTTATCATTTTGGAAAAACAGTGATTTATTTTCAATCATTAGGTTTGTATTCTCTAAAATCTAATGAATAGACAATTATATAAAATGGCATCCGTCCATAGGGAATAAGAATTTCCATCCAACATAATTTAACTTCTCTGGAATTTGAAATGAATGGATATTTGTATAATCCGCAAATGCTCTGAATCTAAAATCTTTTAAAACTGATCCTTCTTGCAAAAAGAAACTTCTCTATAATGAGTCGCAGTTTGGCAAAAGCAACTTCACGTACTGTTTTAAAGGAATTTTGGAATGAAAAATAATTGTAATATTCATGTATCTTGAAAAAGCAACCAACGAAATTTCTGTCAAGTCACTTGGAATATAACTTGTTTGACTTGTCTGCAGAATTGAAATGCGCCTCGAATTCAATCTTAACAAGTTTTGTACAAATTGATAATTAATTAAATTTTAATTTTGAGCATTCTTTGAAACCATAGCTTTTTTATTTGTTGTTAAATTCGGTATTAATCTTGAAATAAATGAATGACTAAGCTTTGTAGATTGTTAAAACAAGTTTGAATTTAATTATTTCGCATTTTGCTGATATTCTGAGTTTCACTTGAATTGGTCTGTAACTTATTAGTGTTTTCCCATCATTTGAATAGGAATTGTCGGTCAATATCTTTATAACAAACTTATAGAAGAAGAGTAAATCATATTTTATCATTCTGATTAGTAATAAAAGTAATGCCATAAGCATTTCAGTGCGTAATTTTAAATTTAGTTTAGTTTTTTATTTATTTTTGATTTATTATCAGAATTAATAAAATATTAGTTGAATTTACAGTAATACGAGTATTTTTAACGAATAAGCTTTTCGTTTCATCAGCTGGTTTGAAAAAAAGTTGTCTTATATTTTTTGGGAAATGAAGAAAGATTATTTATCAAGACATTTTTGAGATTTACTTGCTTGATGAAATATAGCGCCAACGCTCTTTCAGAAATGTGGAATTGTAAATACTTTTGATGTGGCAAAATAAAGATAATTTTGGTTTTAAAGAAGTGTCATAGCATTGAACTCCAAGAGACAATAAATGATCCAGACTGAGAAAAACCTCAATATAATGACAGTGAAAATAA